CACACACACACACACACACACACACACACACACACACACACACACACATACACATCCTCTTGTCTATTGGTGGGCATCTCATAAACATCGTGGATAAAGCAGCAGTCGGTGTCGAGCGGGAGGGCTCCAGCCTTTGCGAAGAAGGTGGGAGCCGATGTCAGCCCCTTAGGGGCGGAAAGCTTATGCCCCGCGAGAACCTATCATGTCGTAAGGGACCGCAGGATGTACAGCTGGCTCACCCGGCTAGAGCAGCGAAGGTGCAACGCTATCGCGACCGTCTTGGCGGCTCACGTGATTATTCTACGTCATTCCCGAGTTGTCTCATAATTTGTTTTTTGTTGAACTCCTGCGTGACATGGTCGGGAGGGCTCCCACCTTTACGAAGAAGGCGAGAGCCGATGCACTCGACACCGGGACCCCGCACATACACACTCTTTTAGTTGTGTGTAGCGAACATGACAAAACATACACACAATATAATCACTACCTATCCTTCCCCAACCACATCAACAAGCAAACTACGGGTTGCGCACCCATGCCCTCACGATAAGTCAACGTCGCTCGAAAAGAATTGTACATTTCGATGCGACCCCACCAAAAACGTCTGGCGAGGCTCTGGAAACGGCCAGGCTTGCCACATTAAGAAAATCGCAAGGGGCCCCTCCTGAAAAGAGAAGTATGGATGACCCGCGTGGACCAGAGGATATGTTACCTCTTGGTGCCTCTTACATTCGTCCAACCAGAAGTTTGTTCGGCCCGTGGTCTGTACCACACCCTGACGACCTTCGATGCCAACGAAAGAGACTTTGCCCTCCCGACCCTGCTGGAGGGGACTTTGAAAAATGGTTGTCGGTTTCTGGCGGAGACTTTTTCAACTGCCATACATGTAGAAACACGGCCAACAGTGTTTCCAAAACGACGGTGGGGTCTGAAATTGAGATTGACATTCCCAAAAAATTGTTCCTTACGACCTGGTGGGGTCCTGAAATGATGTCGGCGGAAAACGTTTTCCAGGGCGCCGCCCAGTGGGGTTCCAAACCTTATTGATTTAAACTTTTGTGACGAATTTATGCTACATCTACAGTAAGGTCATAGGTAACTTACCCGCCCTCCTAATATAGCCTGAAGCTAATTCACATAACTATCCCGGTTTGTCACCGACCTTTGGTGCCCAGTTGGAACTCCGGTTCCTAGTCTCCCTTGACACTCTCCACCCTATTGACCTCAACGGTCCAAACCATGAACCAAGATACCCTAGTTCATCATGATGGAAAAAGGGTTCCCCCTTTAAAGCCACAATTCCAAAAAAAAAAAAAAAAAAAAACTAAAAAAATGATAAACCAACTATTCTCTATCATAGGTCTTACTTACCCATTATGTCTATGCTTCATCCAGTGACACATAAACAACTTGCCATTGGGGGAGATGTGGGATAATTTGTTCTTCAGACACCAAGTTTTTTTAACTTGTCTAGACCATCCAACAACAGATATTCATGAGCTTGGAGTGGTTGCAGCGGCTCCAGAATCTTCACTTGTTGCATCTCCACCTTGGTTGGCTGTCACAATCAATGAGGAAGAGGTTTAAAAGCGGGAATTTTGAGTAGAGATGGAGGTTAAACCGGTGCTAACAGGTACAGGAAGGGGATTAGCAGCTTGAGTTTATTATAAATCTTTGTTTCCCGTCTACTGGTTCCAAAACTTTTTTCTTTTGTTTGATCTATAGTGTTATTTTCGAGTTTTCTATGACTTTGAATACCTTGGCTAAGTTGTTCGCGATCTTATCGAAAATATGAATATCTGTTAGTTCCTTGATATACCTTCATATAATCAGGAACTTTTTTTTGAATTTCATAACCATTCAGAGACAAGACTGTTTTTTTTAGATTACCTCCTGTTGTGCAAAAAATTCCTTTTATTGACTTTTATCCTTTATTCAGTCTTCTTCCTCCTGCAACTTTATGAGTTGATTATATGACTTATTTTGTTCCCCAACGGCTCATTTTTTTAAGGCATGCATCTGATTGAAGGTCATCATCGTTTTTGTCCTCCACTCCACTTGGAGTCAGAGCTCGCAAGACCCGTGAGTTTCTTGGAGAACTTACGACGAATGCGAAATTAGATGAAACTCTCAAGTTTGACACTTTCTTTCTTCCTATCTTTGAAGACGGACATTTTTATTTTCCTCTTCCTTTTTTCAAGAATTGAAGTTTTTTTTTTTTTTTAAGAATAGTGCTCAAATTTATCTATGTGCAGCAGAGGCTGCACTGAGAGCGCTAGCGCCGGTCCGGTTAGCGCAAACACCGAGCGCTAACTCTCGCCACCGCGCCAAGGGAATTTTTTTTCTCCACGCGGAAACACGAGCCGCGCGCAAACATCGCCACACTTCGAATTCGAAAGTAGCACCTTGAAGGCGGGAAACAGGGGGGGCGTTTTCGTTCCACACCTTGCCACGCCCTCGGGCGTGGCTACTCGCAATCAAGGAAACGACAGAAAGTGTCGGGGAGAGAGGGAGAAGGAGAGGGAAGGAAGGAAAGACCATCGATGTCTACGTGATCAACTAGAGATAGGGGATACTACTAAGAACAAGAAAGGACAACGGCGACAGAAGGCGAAGAGAAGAGGAACACTCAATTTTTCCAAAGGACAGTGTAAAAAAGGGAGGAGAGGGGGAGTCGCATCTAATTTTGAGTAAAGACAAAAGAGGAGACTCTCACCCTTCGGGATCAAGTCCGTACGGGAAGATAGTGGGAAAAGGTAAAAGACAAGGAGGAAGAATGACAAATCGGGCTGCACTCACGGACGAGGTCGGGCTCAAATTCAAGAAAGAGACAAGAGGAGGTGAAAGAGAAAAGGAGAGATAACGACAGGAAAGGTACGAGGGAGTAAAGGTGAGGAGAGATAGGGAAGGAAGAAAGACACGGCATGATGATGACCAAGGATCACTGAAGAATGCGACAAGTAAGAGGTCCTTCGTCCTCAGAGG